TCAATTCAGATCAAAGGACTCCATACGACTGCATCTTTCTTCGTTTCGTTCTCGCTAAGCACGAAAACTAAATGATTGATTAAATTGGATCTTGGAGCAGAAACCGTTTGTAATTCCGAGGCAGACAATATGAACTTCCACACATTTCTAACAGATTATGATATATAGATGAGTCTTTCTTAATACCCTTCCAAGCAAGATGAATGACATTTTCAGTAAAAAGTGAAATCTATAAATCATTAAATTTGGAGTATCCTATAAGCTATTATGATTCGATGGTATATTATTTTAATGGTAATAATCCATTGCATTCTTTCAAATGCGAAAAGTTAATTCCATAATATTGTGTAAGTTAATCAACATATCGCGGATGAATCATAGTGCAAAGTGCATTTATATTTAGTTTGTCCATTAATGCGCAACGCTGTTCATTTATTGACCGCCGGATTATGGAAGAGTGTGTGATCACCATTACCCCAGAAGAAAGGCTAATAATCCCCATAAAGCAAACAACGTCAATAAACATTTCAATTCAATGCAAAGTCGTTCTACGCTGATAGAATTACCTTACTTCTAATACGCAGGTAACTATAATTGGGAACATCCTCTGGATGAATCTCGTGTTTACTGTGTTCCTTCATAAGTCGATAGGCATTGGCGGTAGAGAGGACAAGAGCAGGAATACAAACGTAGATAGATATCTTCTTCCAAAGTGAGGCCGTGGCTAATTATCAAACCATGCATATAAATCAATACCAGACATAGCCATTCTTTTTCGTTACATACCCAAATAGTAGTAGCAAGCATCTCATTATACGACGATCTCAACAACTCTTATTGTTACCTTTAGCATGCTCCACAACAGCCTGACGTTCTGCTACTAAAGAAGAAATACCACCAGCTTCGACTGCAGTCGCAAAAGTACGAGCTTTGGGGAGGAATGCTATTCTTCTTACGAAATGAACCATGTTTATCTATTTTGTTCTAATCCCGAAGAGATGATTCATATATGCATAGCATTGTATCACCAAAAATTTATCATTGGCCAAAATTTGTGTGGCGCCACATTAAAGCGAGAATGCATTCTTGATCGGGTGGCTATAATGAAATTCATTTTGTGTGATACCTTAGTCTATAGAGTTGCCCATGTTATCTTCACTCTTACGCGGTAATAGTAATATATTTTGAAACCTTTTTCCGGCTCAATGTCACAAAGTTTTGCTCATAAATTATCTTCTTAGGGCGGATATTCTTTTCGGCACCAAAGCGACTATTTGCCCCACACACACTCCCACGTCCGCAAATTAATTCCCTGTTCTATTCTACATACAATGGTGCTGTGATCAAGCCAGGTAATATAGGAACCGCTAAGACGCCCTCATTCTTGTCACCGTTGATATTAAAGAGGTTCAAGACATACAAGATAAAGACCCATTCTGGAGCGAAGAAACGGTAAGGTTAATTACGGTTGGTACATGCGCAAGACCAAATTATTATGACCGTATCAATACAATCATTCTTCTTAAATTCGGTTCCGGTTCGCTATATATATACCTATACATATTCACAGGTTTCGAATGACGGGCAATGGTAAGTTCAAAAGAGCAAAAGCAGGCAAACAGCACTGTAATTATCTAGCAACTAAAAATCGATTGAGGCGACTGAAATTCCCAGCGTATGCGGAAAAGATGCAAAGGAAGAAATTGAAAGTGTTGATGCCTTATGCATGAGGGCAAGAGGATCAATAAACAGAATTCATGTTTTTGTTCAGTCAAGGCTGGTATTTTAATACGGAAGAGGCAATTGATGTCACTACAGTTGAGTTGTTATCATTATCATGCGAGTGGGAAGATGGTGTCCTTGACAAATGGATTAATGAGCAATGAGTCATCCTCTGTATGCTAAATAGTGAAAACATCATGCATCAAGAACCCTAGTTTGCGATATTTCGATTGAAGCACCTTTACGCCGGATGGATTGTAACATATCAATACAGTCGAACGGTTCTGAAGCGAGCATACAACTCTCTCGGCAATACCCAAGGCAAATTACGCCGCCCATAAAATAAAATACAGTGCGCAAAAAAGTTTTTGGAATAAAATGCATAAACTTATTTCCTTCCAAAATACGCGTCTAATCAAAACAGTCAACTAACAGTTGTGCGTTCTATTCTCATGCATGTAATGCCGACAAGAAAACTCAGTCACATAACTTATTTGTTTACACTTTTGGTTTTGTTATTAAAAATACTACGTGAATATACCCCCAGTATGATTCTCTGTGATAGTTTCCAACACTTTCTTAACATCGGTTCCACTAGAGAGAATCTGAAATATACCCACACATCACTTTGTTGCCAGTCCCACTCCGCCTAGCCAAAACCATCTCCCAGACCTTTACCGTCTGGGCTTCCATATTATTAAGCCAGCAACAGACCGAGAACGAAGCCAATAAATAAATATTCCATGAAAGAACTCACTCGCACTGCATAATAATAATGGAATACGTCATTGATCAAGCCACTGATCTGTATTAAATATTAGCATCACATCGCGCGCGCAACGCATCTTTCCATCACAACAAACGAACAAGTATCGAGAGAATTGAAAGCGCGAAGGCGGAGCTGAAGACGTTCAGGGAGCAGAGAGGAGAGAGAGCTTAAAGAGAAGGAGAAGAGGCTGGAAGTGTTGCAGCAAACACTTGCTGCCACTAACCAGGTAGCAACTTTATAATTCGGGCATTTGGGACAGAAGTGTGTACATGGGGTAGAGTTACATAGTACACAGTGAAACCGGATATAACGAAGGAGACGGCGCAGACACTTTTCTTCGTTATATCCAGTTTCATACATATATCTAAATATAGTAATACACATTGTTATATAAATAAGTTCCGTTATATCTTTATTGTAAATGTAATTCAAGATTTACAAATTTTACAAATTCAAATTCATCAAGCGTTGTTTGACGTGCCAATTCTAGACTGCTTTGTGATATCGTTCTTCTCAATTTAGTCAAACACCTAACAACCGACACTTCTACTCCAAGATTTTTCTGAGCAATATATGCCAAAACACTATCAATTCCAACTAAAGCGTAATAATCCGTTCCGGTTGAACGTTTTCGTCTTCTTGACCGTCAACCTGGTTGATAGTGTCAATTATTTGTTGCGTTAAAGTGGCATCATCAGCATTATTGTTTAAGTCGATAGCTTTGTCGATATTTATATAGTTTTCTATGCTTTTTGTTTTATAATATGATCTGTGAGTGTTATGTTGTCGCGAACAGCATTTTCGATCCAAAGACCATTGCCTCTTCAATATTTGGATAATCACTTTACGACGACGATGTTTTATCAACACTGAGCCACTGCCAATATTTCACTCACTGTTGACTCCCCACAATGAAAAAGCCTAGCAAGATCTTTGTTGGTAAGAGAAGGATTGTCTAGTTTTTTTCTGACATAGGTCTTTTTTTTTGCGCTCCGGAATGCTGCTGCTCTAGAATTTTTGGTTTTATATGTTGCACTTGACAACTCCATTCATCGAGATTTCAGCGAAAACTTTATTAATACTTGCTCTATATATCGATATTAATATAATAAAGATTGGGAATTTAAATATGATGGTGTGGAGGTTCCCTTCGGTATATCCAATATAGAGGGATTTATAATTAACTTCGTTATATCCAAACAATTTTACTATTAAAATTTTTCGTGCAGCAAAAAAGCTTCGTTATAAGCCAAATTCGTTATATCTGGGGTTCGGGTTCACTATGTAATAGTTTCATTATATTAAATCTTCCATACACTCTCTTATTGTTTACACCTCGTAATGTTATTCAACGTTTTATTTAACCCTCAGAACGTCTAAGTCTTGAAGAATATTTATCGTGTGCTCCGCATATTCCCCGCTTCGACAAGTTCCATAAAGCAATCGGCAATCGTCCGGATGATAAATGTGCTTGTTATAGCTGTGGAAAAGAACTAAAGGGAGCCAGTAAAAAAGGAGTTATAATAATCCTAGTTTTTGAGAGTACATCCGCCGAGGATATAAGTAAAATTGTTTAAGTATATAGGTAAGAATTAAAATATTATATTATGTCAAAAGGGTGATTAGTGGCAGCCTGTATCTCTGCTCTTATTTCTATATTAACATTAGTAATTGGTCTTTCTGTATACGGGAGGGATTATCGTAATTACTAGCGTTTTGGCTACTATGCTTTTTTGTGCTTGTGCTTTTGATTGCTGTGACGTAGTGAGAGAAGGAGAAAGTGTAGAATTAAGGGTGATTTAAAAAGCTAATCAAAGATACATACATAGAGATAATTTGGAATGAAGAACCGAATTTTATTGAAGATTTTAAGCCAACCAATGAGTTTACGTTCCTGGCACTGGGTACCCTGATTTGTTTGTCACAAAAAGCTCGTTATAATGGATCTCATTACAATGGGATCGCTTCACAAAAAGGACTTTTCACAATTTTCATACACAGTGAAATTCACTTTAACGAAGCGCAGAATTGCTTCGATTGTCTGAAAGATTCGTTGTTCCAATATGAATATCAAATAAAAATATTGACTACAATACAAAATCTCGTGAATCTTAAGGTTTGCAATTCCATATTTAACTCCTCTTGGCATGTATAACAAATGTTATTACCAGCTTCTGCCGATGATACCTTTCTCACTCTCCAGTTCCCTTTTTTGAGCAATTGTAAATGTTCGTGGTTTTTTTAAAATGAACGTTTCGTGTGAGAACGTTTATTGGAAGATAATTTCAGCATCTTCGATATTACGGTGAACTACTGTTCTATAGTCACACCCTTTTGGCAGCCCATTTTTGGTGAGATTATAGACAATGGCACGTGTTTTATTTCTCCGTTTCCCTTAATGTCTTCATTTTTGTAATTCAGAGAAGAAGAAAATATTTATGAAGATAAGTATAATATTCAGAATATAATGTTATTGAAAAAGTTATTGTCAGCTAGTAACATAATGTTTCTATTCTTCTGACGCATCTCTTTGTTTAATGAGGCTAACCATTCGCTGAAGATATCTCTGCGCATCCATGCCTTGGATTGTTACGATAAGTAACGGGAAGGATTTCATGTTCATTTGACGAAAACATTGTGGACGTGCAGTTTTTCCGACGACAAGTGGTTGCAATTTGTCATTACCTGTTGCATTGCAAGCAAGGAGGACAGTGATTCGTGTTTTATCTTGCTTGGTGCCGAATGTATTTCCTGTCGCAAGTGTCATGTTTGGTGGGCATCCTAAAAAACAAGGATATTTTATCCGCATTATAGACATCATTTAAGCTATACTTACCGATTATTTCACGCAGGTTATCTCTGCCTTCTGGTAATGTTTCTAATGGCACGCTGTTTGCTTTGCCGTGCAACCTAACCTAATGTAAATTATAAAACCATCTAACCATACATCCGAGGCCTTGAAATGACTTTCTTCGGGGAATTGCTGAGCAAACTCGAGTGCCGTTATCTGTAAAATTTTGCCGTTGATAATATTGTTGGCAACAATTGCACTGGTTTCAAGGCATCATTAGTTTTGACAAATGATTCTTTTCTCTCTTTCATTAGCTGTCCAGTTTCGCCAAAGTATCCTTTTAATTCATCGTTCGTGATTCAGCTAAAATTTTAGTGATTGTTGAACGGTCAACGTTGAGGTTAAACGTTTCCATCAATTTTTTGCTGAACAATTAGGGATGATCCCGTTTGTACAGACACAGTGCCTTTTTTGTCTCCAGAGAGATGAGATTGCTATTAGTTTTTAGCATTTTTTTGTGAAATTGTAGGAGCAATAAAGTGCCGCGTCTTACAAAATCAAACAAACACGTGATCATATGTGACGTTCAGAGATTTTATTAGAGATTGTGACTATAGGCAGATAGTGACTATAAACGAAGGGACTATAGACAGTAGTTCACTGTATTTGATGGCGACACGACACTGATAGAGAGCAAGCTTATAGACAAGGGAAATGCAGTGTTTAACGCGTATCCAGCATATTTATTATTATTATTATTATTATTATTGATTGTACAGCATGTGACTTTTTGATAATTTCTAATTAACACAATAATCGGCATTCGTCATACAGTAACACCTCCATAGCGTTGCATTTATGGGGGGGGGGGTGTTCCTTATTAGGAAAGATATTTTAACGATTTACGTCTATTAAACAGATTTTCCTTTATTATTATTATAATTTCCAGCCAAAGTTACATACAAAATTTGGATATCAATATCACTAATTGTTAACTAAGAATTGTGTAATACTACTTTGTTTCATTAAAGTTAACTTTAATCCGGTCGACATATCCTTCAAGGACTTCTTTATGATCATGGGCATATTGACAAAATTCAAGTTTTTGTTTATCAGGTAATGTAGTTGGTTTTATTAGATTGATTGCGAGACAATTTCGCTCTTCCTCTTCGAACTCCATCACTTTTATACTTTTCAACAATATCTACGTTAAACAATTAAAGCTCTTCTGCTAGTTTGTAAAATGAAACATAAACAAACAGTTTCTAACTCAAACACCGAAAGAATCTTTCCTTTGCACAACTGGATCTATAATAGTAATAATTAATTAAAATCCGTCTGCTGTTTCAATGCTATTGTAAACAGTGATAAAAGTCAAACGCAAAAAAAGAAAATAGCAATCTTCACACGGATGTAAAACTCGATCTATAACAAATAATGTGCGCGAATAGTGATGTTTGTTTGACTTGATATTGTACGTGAAACAAATTTGTGCTACATTGTGTTGAGCAACAAATAACATTATGCAAATCACGTGAGTTGCACTTAGAGAATGCGTACTATGTGAACGACAATAGTTTTTGTATGGTTTTGAAGCTAATTAATTGTGCCTTTTGAAAAAAATCAACAGCAAATTATATACATTTTTGTTATAAAACTGTAGAATCAAGGAAGTAAGAATATGCACTCCATATATTTTATACCATAATTTAAAGACAGCCACTTCACAAAGCTATAGCTTTATAATGATGATATATACAGTATAATTTACCGTTAACTTTTTTCGAAAAGCACAATTAATTAGCTTCAAACCCGTACAAAAATTATTGTCATTCACGGGCAGGAGAGATTTTTGAAAAAAAAAAAAAAAGACTTTTCATATGTTTTACTAGTAAAAATACATGAAATCCGGTAATTTATGGTAGGGCAGTGTAGAGCGGGACTCGCAAATCCGTTGCATTGCAGAAAACGGGGGGGTTGCATTTATGGAGGTGTCACTGTACAATTTTTATACTTCGGTCGGAATATATTATAATTAATATTGAAAATAGTTGTGAACAGTGTTCGCTTTAGTGAACCCCCATTGTCACGGGAGACCAACTTATCAAGAATTTACAGTAGTGAAAAAAACGGCCGAAAGATTTTGGCCGAGTTATCGAGACTGACTGCGTATTTATTTCAGATCGGACTCTTTTTTCGTATCATATTCCTTTTATTCGTCCGATATTATGGTATTTTGATAATTCAGCTCAATAAACAATTATATAATTAATTGTAAAAGACAACTTCAATTTGGACGCTTTGTAAAAAATTTGATGGATCATTACAAAAATGATACCGCTAAAAGTGTTCGAAAACGTATACGCTTCTAACTGCCGCGAAAAAAAACAGGAAAGTTATCGTGCATTACAATATAAATATTCATGATCGATAATTCGTCCATATACGTTAATTCGGACGACAGTCTCGAAAAGTTGGTGTCTGAATTAACACAAGTTGACTGTATTTGGAATTATTCAAAGAGGGAATATTTTGCTTTGCTTAACTTCTGTTAGTTTCTCTGCTATTCGTTCATTCTCAAAAGTGCCAATTATTTGCCCTTGTTCAAGCACTCGACCATCCCTTCCTCTTTATGCTTGTTGCACATACACGTCCCTCGTTTATACCCCACCTTGGGACTGAGACTTTTTGGGTAGGGATATAAACGACATACCGTATCCTTCCGAATTTAAGCACCACCCGGACTTTAGGCGGAAAAACTTGAAAAACAAAAATAAGCACCACCCAAAATTTATGCAAAAAAATTTTTTATTATATTTTTATTCTAATTCTTCCTCTTCTAATTCATCAGCTGAATCACTATCTATATCTAAATTCTATAAGCCACGTTTTTAAACTACACCCCACTACCAAAAATGACCGCCACTTTCAGATGATCTGCATAGCTTTACAATTTTTACTAAAATTGAAATTAGATTTTCTTGAAAACTTTACTTATAACATTTAATAAAATTTATATTATTATAATCCTCTGGTTATGAACTTTTTAATTATAATGTTGATATTTTGTGGGATTTCCTCTACTATTAATTACAGCACTAATTCTTCGAGGCATGCTATTTACTAAATTTTCTAAAACACTTCCCTCAATTTTCAACCACTCCTCTTCTAAAACTGCAATTAGTTCCCCCTTATTTTTTGGCATAGGTTTATGCTTATGCACTTGTCTTCCAAGATGATCCCACAAATGCTCAATTGGATTGAGATCTGGGCTTTGAGCAGGCCATGGAAGAGAAGATAGTAAATTTTCCTCTTTCCAAGCAAGCACAGAACTGGCTCTATGAACAGGTGCATTGTCATCTTGGAAAACAAATGTATTTTCATCATCCAGGCTTTCAATAAAGGGTATTAATGATCTGTTAAAAGTTTTTGATAAACCTGACCTGTAATTCTTCCTTCTATTACCACTAATGGACCTAGCCTATTCTTAACAAAACAACCCCAAACCATTACCCCTTCACTATTACTCTTCACAGTAGGAACCAAACAATCTACATCATATTTCTCATGAGGTCTACGCCAAACCCATTGCTGGCCATCATTCTCAAATAAAACAAACCGGGATTCATCACTCCAAATGACTGTATCCCATTGCTCATCACAAAATCCCCGTTCTTGACACCATCTAAACCGTTTTATTCTATTGGTTTCTGAAACAAAGGGTTTTCTCTTCCCAATGCGGCCAAAATACTCATGATTGTGAAGCACACGTCTAGCTGTACTAGTACTAACCGAAGTAAGACTAAGGCTATTGTATTTCTCAGTAAGTTGTTCAAGAGATTCTTTCCTATCTTCCTTGGCTATACGTACGAGTGCTCGCTCTTCACGCTTGCTCAAAAGTGGTGGTTTACCCGGACGAGGGAGAGGTTTGGGGAGTTGATCTGTGACAAATTTGTTTATAACATCACGGCAAGTGGATCTGGCTATACCGAGAATTCGAGAGATATCTGTAGGATTATGATCACCCTTATGAAGTCCAATGATCATTCCACGCTCAAAAACAGTCAATTCACGGCGGCTTTTCATTTCTACAGGATTTGGTTTATAAAACTAAAAGAACTTTTATGAGTTCTAAAAGCTACTGTTTTCAGCTACTTGGGAAAAAAAAGCAATCGCAATTTGATTAGATTTACGTCTGCATACGCTGATTTGAAAATTGGTCACGAGGCGAAATATTATTTGCTGATCACAAAGTGGCGGTCATTTTTGGTAGGGGGGTGTAGCTTCAGCTTCGGGATATTTTTCCTTTCTTCCTGAACCAATACGCCGATTTTTCCCTTTAGCTAACTTGAGTTTTTCTTCTATTTTTCCCCAACGAGAAATCATTGAATGGTCAATATTAAAATGACGAGCAGCTACTCTTATACCATAAAGTTCTGCATATTGCAAAACTTTAAGCAGAATATGATGAGCGTTGAATTTTTGGCATTGCGTAAAGAAAAGATGCGGAGTAAAGGGGTATGGCGTACAAAAAAAAAAACTTCCAGCACCACTAGGAATTTTGTCCCGATTTTCCCCTAAAAAAAGTGGTGCTTAAATTCGGAAGGATACGGTAATCGGACTTGGTAAGATCTGGACATTGTTAATTATGAGTCTTCGAAAGTTTTGGATACACCCGTGTTAAGACGTATCACTCTGAATGGATATTAGCCATTACTAATAGAAACAAAGAGAAAGATTGTGTACACAACTGGAACTCGGTATAGTCATGAGAGAGTTTGAGGTGATTACAGATTTGCTTGTTCTAGATAAAATTTCTTTAAGGTTGACTGACACGACCAGTTTTGCTAACAAAGTACTGCCTCATTTCCTTCTGGTTCGCGAATATAAGCATGCAGAAAGCTATTATCATGGTCGCAAGAGACAATGAAGTGTAAAGGGAATGTGTTCTACTATTATATAAGTGTCTTGATTTATATTACGTACAAGCAAACACTTTGTCAATAAAATTTATGTAGCCTCTCTTCTCTCTCTTCTGAAGAATTGTGACGCAAACTAAAAATGAAGGCACGTGGGTCGTGTTACTCATGTATTACTCAGAAAGTAATGACTAAATGACTCGATGTGGGATCCCAGCAACACATGGTTATTTAACATGGTTAGCCTGATCGCCAAGGATAGGTAAGAAGTTTTCGCATGTCAATCAAACAATATAAATGAACGTATTGAAGAGCTTACATATTCGACACTTGCGGGAATTACGGCCGTTATGGTTGACAAAATTCTGAATTAACATCTTATGAATTAACGCAATAATAAGATTGTAATTATAACATATTAATATATATTACAAATAATATGACAACCTATAACTTCTTGTGTTATTATAAATCATCTGTGTCGTCACTGGTACAAGACATACAAGACAATACTAATACTGTACTATTGCCTATTGCCTACTACTACCTACCCAGATGGTATAATTCGTGTAACAATATTAATATACGCCTTATTATTATATAATAGACCATACGTATGATCTTCATCCATTATGTTCACCCCCAAAACACTGAAATAAATACCCTATTCCCACCACCTCACTTGTCTACTATTTATCGGCCGAAGCAACTTCGTACGTGTGGTTAATATTAATAAAGAAGGACCTATCTACTTCGGCAAGCATAGAAAGCAGAGAGTAAAGGTCGACTACTTCATAACCAACATATGTCTATATTGTCAAAAGCAATTGCGTTTAAAATTTTTATACAGGACTAAATCCTATCCTGAACAATCCAAATAAGAAATACATCCCACTCACTCTTTCGTTCACTCTCACTATAAGCCCTTGTCAATGTCTATAGAACCATTACCAATAAATGATGACCAACACCCTCCTATTGTGACAGACACTGACTGTATATGCTCCTCAGACGTAGACCGACCCATACATAGTAATTCCAGCCAATTCAGTCTTACCTCATCGTCATCATCATTCAACGAACCACGCAGACGATCGTCTAGAAAACAACAGAGAGTTCGAAGTAGGCAAACATCATATCCATCAGTGGGACAGTTGCTATGGGAAAATGGTGAATCGTATAGCGATGTGCGACTTTCCTTCGAAGACAAAGGAATTCTTGCAATGGAAGCAGGCATACCCACTGAACTGCGACTCCATTCCATAGTATTATTCCAATCACAATTCTTCAAAGAACAACTTTCTCATACTTCAACAAATGTACCATCATCACCAGCATCGAATGTAATAAGGGAGAAGCAGATAATAGTCAGACTACCTGCCAGAGTTGCAGAAGAAGACATGGTTAATTTCTACTGTACTTTGAAACTAATGTACACTAAAGCATGGAATAGTGAACTTGCGAATAACTTGGCAAAAGGAGTCGGGTGTTTATCTGTATGTTGCGAGATAGGATTTCACGAGGGAATAGCTGAATGCTGGGCATGGCTAGTACAAAAATGCACTCGAGATAAGAACAACGAGATGATGCGACGACTCATCGAGGCATACCCAGATTTATATGAGAAGTTTGATGACCAAACTAGTTCTCTATCAACTCCAGACTCGTCGCACTTACAAATACCAATCCCACAGAAATCATCTCCTAAACAACGACCACCACCTATATCTCGAAGATCGTCCAGTAGAAGAAAGACAAGAACTGCCCCTCATGCTAGACGCAGAGCAGGTGCGACGGCGCCCTCATCCTCACCAATATTAAGATCGAACTACAGCGACGAATCCATGTCGACCAATGCATCTGCGCCGCTGACACCAACCAGTGACACATCACCGCACCCATTCTCGCGCGATAACGTACTTCCTTCCCCTTCCCCTTCCCCTTTATCTCCATTACCATCGCCACCATCCGATTCTATTCTATCTTCACTCCCACCTAAGAAGAGAGCTATCGATAAGACTATCAACACCACTACCAACGGCGCCAATATTGTTACTACAACTTACCTGTTTCCGGCCATGCCTGCCGCTACTCCACCTAATAAATTTACTAGCCCACGCATACTCAACTCATGGATTAGTAAATTCGAAATGTTTGCCATAATGGCAAAACGTGCTTGTAATAATTTGCCAGATGAAGCTCGCCTTGATAACAGATGCTTTCCATTTCTTGGATATTTCGTCTCTGCATTTGAGTCTATTCATGAACTCGCTGGACAGTCACTTATTACATCTGCTGAAGCATTGGATTTCACTTTGCGTATGTTAAACGTAATTAAGGTTGAACATACTCACTATCATACTCTTCATCTTCCGCCACCTGAGCGTCCGGAACAGGGAACGTTGTCACCACCAATAGTACTTCATGAGTCGCTGGATGTTCCACTTGCTAATATTTTGAAGTTTGCTCTTGTATCAAAAGAGCAGAAGCACCTATGTGATTATTTATGGGCACCTAGCAATATTTCCAATCTCATGCATCTGAGAGAGATATTGAGCGATAATGGAAATGCTATGGATGAGGATGAGTTTGAAGAGATGGATGAAGTAATGGGACAAGAGAGTCTCCTGAAAGCACAGAGAGTCAGTAACGTCGAGCATATGGTTGTAGGAGAGAAGATGGCAGAAGTCATGAGGGAAATCAGAGGACAGTCATATTGTCTGTAATGGTTTGAAATAGATATTGACGATTTAGTTATCACGGTTGATTTAAATATTGGAGCATGTGTTTTTCCGATTCCGATTAATATAGAATGGTCCAATCTGCTTTTATTTGTCTATCAACAAAAAGTACTTTTACGTATTATTCTTCTATTTGTACTATTATTTGAGAATAGATTAATCATTTAGACGTCATTCCTTTATAGTAGCATTTGTATCACTGTCATATCGACTTATTCATATTCCATGATAACTTTCTTTTGATAGGAGGAAACAGAGATTTACTGATGCAGAATAGAGACGTACCTGTGTCTCTTTGTATTATAAGCCAACTATTCCAGTCGATAAATTAATAGTTATCGACTGTGCAAATATAAATGAGTGAAGTAAATATTTTCTGATATTTGTCTGAATCAGACGTAGAGAAATTGCCAATGCTATACATACAATTCATTCAAAGTAACTGCATCAACGTATTTATTTATTTACAAAGGCAATTCATACAAATTAACCTCATTGGTTTTGAGTGTTACACAATTACGTCATTAAGATCCGTGTTACGGTAACCAATTCACGTGATTCACTACAATACTATCCGCGATCCAATCTTTTTCTCGTGTTTGTACTCATTGAGATTGTAGCACAGGATACCTTGAACTATATTTAAAGAGGACCATTACCACAGGAGCACCTCTTCACCCCTTTATCACGCCTTTATCAATATATGACTCATAGTCAACATCAACGCGTTCGTTTCTAAATATGAAAGATAAGACAATTGAACCAGCTATTGGAGAAGAGGAGGAAGACGAAGATGATGTGTATGAGGTATGTGTGGAAATAAAGCGGACAAAGGTAGTAAATTAAGACAATACAGCATGATTGAATAACATTTTGAGATATCTTTTCCTATTATGCTAAGGTCGAGACGATACTGGACTCTGTGTGTGAGGACGTGAGTATAACTATAAAAATTAGGCTTTGCATGTCCTAGTAAACGGATGGATGCTGTAACAAGAACCTGTTTTGAGGATAGGGTGATGTACTATACTTGATCAAATGGAAGGACTATGGAGATGAGTATAATACATGGTGAGCTGCTATTCAACTAATGGAAAACGGTTTCATTATAGCCAAAAAGACAGACATTGATATAATTGCTACCAAAGCATCAAATTTGTCACACTTAGTGAACCATCATCAATCCAGTCATAGAGATAACTACTCAATTATGACAATGTATTATTATATTAATATCTTCAATCATGCTGCCATTGTACTTGTTATCAGTTAAACCGTATACCGTTTATCTTTATTCTGATACCTTCTCATCTCTTATATTCTCAGACAACTTTTAATCGTCCGTAATGCGCACCTATTTATATTACAGGGAAAAGTCAGATAATATAATCGACCAATCTCTAATAAGTGACTATGAAAGAAGACTGCGACAATCGCGCAGCAAAAAGAAGAATCAAACTGCCAAACAGGGTCATCACAAGGTCCTCCATGATAATTGGGATAATAACTCCACAAGTGCTAGTCGTCGAGTCCTTTCCTCTGAATCACATTCAACACAATGTTCAGTATTAAAAGGCAAAAACATAAACAACGGGCCTACGACTATAAAATCAAAGAAGAAACAGAGAACAAAATCACCTAATGTACTTGCCTTTGAAGAAATACTGAGACCTAGTGTCGGTTCTCGTATAACTGTAGTCAATGATGTAGATACTGAAGGAGTGCCAGAAGGATACCAGTTTAGTCAGAAGTATATTTATGGACCCAATGTGCGGGAGCCTGATACAAATTTTCTCGTTGGATGCAATTGTGCTCCTGGGACATGCCATGAGAATCATTCTTGTTCATGTCTAGCATACAATGATGGAAAGTCATATTATACAAGTACAGGGAAATTAGCAGTTGGCTATGATAAGATCATTTATGAATGTAATGTCAACTGTAATTGTGGTTCTTCTTGCCTCAACAGAGTAGTGCAATCTGGACATACTGTGGAGATGCAGGTGTTCCGCACTAAGCACACTGGATGGGGGGTGCGCACTATTAAGTCTATTCCTCGCAATACGTTTGTGTCCGTGTACTATGGAGAGATTATAACGAAGGAGGAAGCAGAGACAAGAGCGGAGAGATATGAAAAGATTGGTCGATCGTATCTCTTCGAGCTAGATTTTTTCAAAGATATTCATCATTATACAGTGGATGCGTATCATTACGGCAATATATCTCGATTTTTCAACCACAGTTGTGAGCCCAATATGAGAGTGATGCCTGTGGTAATAGATAATGCTGACATCAGTATATATCATCTGGCGTTTTTCACATTGCGCGCAGTAAAAAGTGGAGAGGAGTTGACATTTGATTATTTGGGAGAGAGAGAAGAGATTAATATGAGTAATCAAGAAGAGAATCTGACTAGATGTAAGTGTGGGAGTGAGAAATGTAGAGGATGGATTATCATTTGATAAAGGAAGGAGCCATAACCAAATAGACAGACAATTAAATGAAGATTAATGTAATCTTTCCTTGTGGAGATATGAAATCTTGGGGATGTGAACATATTTGTGTACTGTTATATAGTAGGGGAGATTGTAACATTGTCATATCAAGATTAATAAAGCTTTTCATGTACAAATAGAATAAAGGAGCCATATTGTGGCGTTAGACCAGCTATTCTACTCTGATCTAACTATTACAGTATTCGGTAAGTTATTATTCCATGTAATCGAAAACAATTGAGCCACACAAATTCGGGGGTTTCAAGATTATTACAAAAGTTTACTATATCAAACCATAGCGACAGACTTTAGAGATTGGCCTATATGCATCAGTTTTATCCAGGCGAAATCGCTGCGCTATTGTTAAGACCATTGATAATCCGACTTCGCTGTGCGTTACCCTGATGATAAAAGTGTTGTATTTTGCTAATATCAGTTTAGCGATATTACAGTATATAGTGTACGTATATCGCTGTCGATATCGTGCTCCCGTATTAACATTACCAATAGATTCTCTTGTGCTTCATGGTCACACGACCTAGCCATTGTGTTATACGCTTTGTCTTCCTTCGACTAGACAACGCAAATGAATCGTATTAAGTATATTATAGGAAAGTGTGTCTTCTCAACTTTACGTTTAAAACTTTCCCATCAAGGAAGCAAGATCTGTAAATAAACTAAAAAGAAATAGAGTGTGAACTCAACTACCAATACGTGTCCATCATTGATATGCACACGCTTATCGAGTTATCAGCATTTTCTAAAAATTAAATTAATTTTGATAATCGTTCTTATAACTTCTAAACTTAGTTTTTTATTGTTAATATTTACATTTTATAACCGTCTTTCTTGGAGAAACAAGTTTCATTCCATAATTTATGCTGGAATAATTTACTTGCCAAAATTACATAAACCATCAGGCGCCCGTAATAAAAACAACTTTTGTAATTTCTTATTCTAGCGTAAGAACCCTTTTTACGTTCTGCGATATCGGTAATAGTATTAATGCAACACAAACATTTCGCTATATTTCATATAGTAACAAAACCTGGTGGTTTTTTTTTCAGCAAGAGGGAAAACAAGTATTACCCGGTGATGCTAAAACAGGATGCTTGGGGTGATTGGCGATTCAACAAGATAGTGATAAACATACGAGTCATCATGCCAAAGAGTTCTTGCGGATGAATTGGAAATGTTTATGAATGTATATTCCTGAAAACCCCATACAGACACTGCATTTATAGAGAGTGGAAATACTGCGATTTAGGGAGGGAAAAATATAGTGCCTGCACTTAGAGTTGCACTTAGAGAGAGTCCACTGTAATTGGTTTTGCGGGAGTCAATGCGGCGAGTGGTTTCTTATTTATTTATTAATTTGCTAATTTGCTATCTTTCAAATGAAGTCTAATTAGTTAAAAGTTGGCAAAATTAAATGTTCGTTTTGTATCGAAGTTGGTTGTTACAATTAAAGGTAGAATTCAGGATTACGAACAAGCACCACCAACGGCTAGGCTGTGTTTATAAATTATAGGTTTAAAGAAATAACAACAATAAGTTGCGAATGTAGCCAGCCTTTTTTAGAACGTAACCGAGTACTTCAAGGAGTTTCGCCCGCCAAACTCCCAGCATGCCTTATTTATATATATAGACTTACCGAGACAGTCATCCCTCGTTTATATATATATCCCCACTTTGGGACGGAGATATATCTGAAGTGGGATATAACTGAGTATAGGCATTTTAGTTTAGGTGGCACAAGAAATTTTATTGGTTAATATGCTCTGTTAATAACGTTTTGGCCCTTTATTTTTAGCTGTCTCAAGTGCTTGAATAGAAATTGTGTCTGCTGCGACACAACTTCAGCCACCAGAAGTTCTTCAAAAATTTCCTCTTCTGTAGGCACATTTGCGCTTATTAAACCATAATATGCTAACCAAAAAGAGGTAGACTGACTGACTATATATAGAAGAAATAGCATGATATTTATGTAACACAATTGACATATATAGCAAGATAAATTTGCCGAGGGAATGATCATTATATATTTCTATATGATATGGGAATTTATACTGACATATATAATAGAGCGAGGGTGGGTGGGTTACAATAAGGGGGGGGTTATAAATGAGGTATTATTCAAATTGCCATTCATCTATGAAAATGGTTTCACAACAACGGTTAGAAGTTCGGTAGGTCCGATGATACATACACATTCCTTGAAATCTACTAGTAAAACATATGAAAAATCTCTTTTTTCTAAAATCTCGATTGTACGTATTTACTATGTGAATCAAAATGATTTTGGTACCGTTATGAAGCTAATTGATTATATTTTTCGAAGAAAATAGTGATATGCAGCTGTTCGATGAAGTGGCTGGTATAATGTTACACATATTAAAATGTATGAAAATCATCATGCTAACACTTCATCAAACGTGCTGCTTTAGTACGATAACGGAACTGAACATATCACAATTTTTTTTCAATTAGCTTCATAACGGCCAAAACATTTTGATTCACATAGTAAATACAATCGAGATTTTAGAAAAAAAGAGATTTTTCATATGTTTTGCTAGATTTCAAGGAGTGTCGTACCACGTTAAACAATAACGTTTTAAACTGTAGTATAGAAAATGGTTACACTAAAATCAACTCTTCTTTAGAGTTACCGACATTAACAATGATGTTTGATTGTTAACAGTAATTCACTATGCTTAACAATTCACAAATCTCAATCGAAGGTATTATTTCTACATGCTTTGGTAGATGAGGAGATGTTTGCATTTAGAAAATAATAGTTTCTATGGGGACTGAAGCATCGCTACAAAAATTAAAAACGTATAACAACTGTCCGTTGTCGTTATAGATTTTTGTTTTGTTTTCACATTTCAAAACCGTAAGTACCGTTCATTTTAGTACCAGGGTAGTCCATCTAGATTTCCTAGAATTAATGCATTAGATAAGAACATAAATTTTATTAATTCACAGTTTTTATTGGCAAGCTAGAAGAGGTACAAAGTCACAGGGGGGATATTATATGGGGGAAATATTTTGGTGCGTTCTCATCAGTACCTCCCCTGCCATGTTTAGTAGTAGAAGCTATCTCCCCAACCAAATTAGTAACGAAACGTTACCCGATATCATAATAGGCTTGCTGGCCCATTTTGAGCTAGTCAATAATGATACTTCCCAAATGCAGCCAAATTTAGTAATTCGAAGCGTTACCATATCTTTGCGTGTTTCAATTCAATACTCCGACGTAACACACGCTGTTCCGGTCCTCCCTTACTTTACAGTCACAATCAAATGAAGTGTCATTAACAGAGTAAGTCTTCAACATCAACAGTCACCAACTTAGTGGAGACCCACGTGATGAAAATTAGTGAAATGGTAATTAACCAGCCGATAGAGGGAAACAGCAAGCATAATAGAACCTATTATAACGTGCGCGCCACAAATAATGGGAAAAGTGTAGGATGTGCACTGTTGTTGTCTTTCATATTAATAAATGGCTGCTCGTAATTCTTTAATTATCTCTTTTTTATTTTCTACTTGGTAATCGTTTTCTAATTCGTCCATACATATGTAGTAAATGTATGATTGATAAAGAGTTTTGCAGCATATATAATGTTAAAATTTGATGTATTGAAACTGCCAAGTTGGGTTGGTTTAAAACCGACGCGTAACTTGTGTTCGAAATAAGTTAATGAATTAGATACATATATATTCGAGTATTATTTTAATACAAAAAATTTTCGGGGCGGAAAATTCTTTATCTTTCTTTATCTTATCGAGTTTGACTTTACACGATAGTTGTATAACCTGACAGGTACAACCTATAATATCTCCTTTTCTAGGTTTGATCACCTTAACAACGCTCCTTTTTTGATTACTTCTACATAATAACATTTGTAGTTACATGTTAAAAATTAAACGAACGTATTTCCGATAGACACCTAAAAACCAAACATAAATCACCCAACGATCTTTGAGCCTGGTTAATTCTCGCAGTACACGATTCCCATAGCTAAAAAAAAAATTTTTTTTTGTCGTTTTCTTGCGGCGATGACTTAAAGTTTGGCTATCTCCATTACATTGAGGAATTTACATATTAAATTGTGTCACTTACTGCAAACAAAGACTAAATAAGGGAAATTCTTCCACCAATGACTAGACGACTCGTACGCAAGAGTTTATGTTGATCAGATGTAATTAGTACCCAACGAAACTTCAAAAAGCACTTTTTGAAATAATAGCTTCATACAAATAGAGACAACTGTCCAAATTATAGTGAACTCTCCAAATTTGTGTAACGGTGCTTCTTACCATCTTATTAACTCGGGTTTTATACCGGCGACGTATATACCGGAATATACCAGCCGTTCGTTTCATATGAAAATTATTATTCCAAACGAATATTCTAATATACTGATGAATTGCTCTGATTGAGTGTATCATATAACATTTTATTGATCAATAAATTAAACTCCGTCTAATTAATTTATTACTAAATATAAAGATTATACGATCAGTGCCGCATTAAAAATCATATAGACGCGATAGCTGCTTTTTCTGATACACTTGTAATACGCCGCCTGTGTCATTAGTATTGCTGTTAAACTATTTTATAAGATTATATAAATTTATTTATTTAACGACAGATGTACATGCATGTGATCAACCTATCGTTTCTTGGTTATGCGGGTGGTTGCGGCTGTTGGTTTTGTTGTTGGTTTCGAAGTAATTGGATCAACTCTACAAAAGCAAATAATGTCGTTTAGATAACAAACAGCACAGTTTTCGTCTTAATTATCTATATCCTTTTGTCTTACCCGTATTAGTAGGCATCACTCTAATATTTCCGTGCCCCTGCCCGTTAGATAATGCCTGAAGAGATAAACCCTGATGCAACAATTGCTGCGACATTCTGATGGACGTATTCGGCTGTTGCATCGGTCGTTGCTGTTGCTGTTGTTGCTGTTGCTGCTGCTGTTGCTGCTGCTGTTGCAGTATCATAGCGCGAACCTGTGCATCCGGGATTCCCCGGCTTCGAGCTAACTGCTGTATAAGCCTTTGCAACTGAATTGACTGCGGATTTGCTGGTGCGGATTGTTGATTCATTTGGTTTAGCTGCATTTGGCGGTGATATTGTTGCGTCACTTGCGGCTGCCCAACAGGTTGTGCCGGTGTTTGTTGAGCTTGTAAGGGCGGACGCAAGACAGGTCGTGATTGTATCTGGGTTTGTCCTTGCGCACGAGATTGCGGAGGAGTTCCCATCTGTTGCGGAGTTCGCTGCAACCCCAGCTGAGCGTGTTGAGGAGTTGATTGTCCCTGTGAAGTTTGAATCTGTGATTGTTGTGATTGCTGTGATTGCATCCTTGGCGCCTGTGCCTGTGCTGTTTGCATTTGTTGTGTTCGCAATTGAGCTTGTAAGGCTTGTAGCTGTTGCGGTCGCATCTGTGCTTGTTGTAATTGAGCTTTTAACTGTAACATCTGACTAGCTTGTGTTGGAGGTGTACCCCGCATTTGTAATGCTTGAAGTTGCATCTGCATCTGTGTTGTTTGTAACTGGGCCGTTTGCATCGGAACAGCGTGCATTTGATGAGGTGTTCGAATTTGAGATGGGGATTGAAGCTTCACCTGTGGTTGTTGCGGTGACTGCTGCGCCTGTTGTTGTGATGGCTGTTGCGCCTGCTGCGACGTCTGTTGTGCTACCTGCTGTGATGGTGGTTGGGCTTGTTGACTCGTATTGGGTCTCGTAGGCTGCTGTTGTCCGGGCTGAATATTCACCAGCTTACGTGGCATTGGTGAGTCTAGATATAATTTTCCAAATAAGTTATCTTTATTAACGAAAATAGCCATTCCAGTGTTTTGTATTGGCGAGTTCGGAAACCGTATTTGACCAACTATGTTTCTCTTTTCTAATGATCTCTTCAATATCTCAAATCTTTCTTTATTCTGAGATGCATTAGGTCCAGACTGTGTGTTTGCACACAATAATACATACGATTGTGATTCAGATGAATGTCCCAAGTCCTTTGTAGATGTGACGCCTGTTATAACCATCTTGTTAGGCCACAAGTTTACTTGGTATTTATCCAAAGATATGTTGTTTGGCGCGTTGCTTGGAATAGCTAAAGCGAAAATATCGCAACTCAATTCCTGGCGATGCGGCGTACCAGGCTGATTAGCCTGCCAAGCGATTTGACCGTTCCATACAACAGGCGCCTTACTCGGTCTTGGCGGTACCTGTGGAAGACTCGGTTGCTGTGTCATGCCGGACAAAACTCCGTTATGCGGTCCTTGCGCATTGCTTATCTGAGGTGTTTGGTTGTTTGGTTGTGATTGTTGTGGTTGCGGCGGTGGATGTTGCTGTTTCTGTTGTGTTGGTGGTGGTTGCTGTTGCTGTTGCTGCTGTTGTGCTGTTGTCTGTTGTTGATGATGTTGCTGTTGCTGTGGTGGTGGTGGTAGTTGTTGTTGTGGTTGTTGCGTTTGCTGCGGCGCTGCTGCTGGCCTCTGCAGTGTTTGTGTTGCGTTTGGTTGAACGTTCATTTGTGATGTTAAGTTGGCTGAAACGGTCGATGGTGTTTGATGAGTTCGTTGGACAGATCCTTGCGTCGGGGTGGTACTGTTCTGTGACTTAGGAGTGGTTTGCAATCCAACGAGTCCGTTTGCGATATTTATAGCGTTGGCAACTTGCGCTGGACTGGTAGTAATTCCGGTACCAGTTGAGCTTCCAGCATTATTTGCATGTATAAGTTGATTCCTGAAAGCTGCAGCAAGCTGTTGCTGGTGCTGCTGCAAGTTTCTATTAGGATATACAGAATGTGGTAGACTTTTCCAGACTTGTACTTGCTGCACTTGCTGTGGAGTCAACTGAGCTACTGCTTCTGGACTACTCCACAGTCTATGCGGATTTGGCATAGAATTGGGACGTGCTGTTAAATGAGACGAGGTTACAGGTGTTGCCGTTGAATTAGGATGCGCGACGGGATTAGGTCTGACAGGTGTTCCTGTTCTCCGAGGACCAATTTGAGACCCCGGTGATGTTCCATTATGCCGTGGAGTATTTATTGAAATTATGTTAGCATTCGTATCTCTTTGGATTTGCGGTTGTTGTTGTGTTCCCAACCTTGGTGTCGCTATTTTGACAGGAGCAGTAGCAGCTGGCAAATTTGCAGAAGCAGAAGAGAGCAATGAAGCAGGAGATGGATTAGAAGCAGGAGGTCGTGCTGGTGATTGAGTTGGAGATCTTTGCGGAGGAAGTGCATTAGGTTGAGTTTTTATTGGCTGTTGACTGCGCTGCTGCGTCTGCTGCTTTCCTGCTGAATGTTGGATTGACGTACGCTGAACGATAGTGTGTTGGGATGGAGATGGAGATGGGATATGAGTTGATTTATTAATATTCTGGTTATCCGTAGAAGCTGTTTTCTCAGTCTTGATTTTCTTTGTTTGTGGTGCGTCTACATTTGCTTGATCGCTAGCGTCCTCTGTCCGGGGACGTTTAATGTCTTGTTGTGTTGTCATTGTTGGGGAAGTTGGTTCGTTGTTTACTGGCTCTATCTCAATATCAGATAATCTTAACATTCCTACATCGAACTCTTGGGATAAATCGATTACTTCCTTCTCTTTATTGACAGTCCTCACAATGTTGTCTAAGTTTACCAATTTCAATTCCCGGTCGGGCACGACCAGCGATAGATGTATATTTTGCCTCGCCATCTCTTCACATATGTCAGTCATATTGTATTCGTCATATCTCTCATCTTCATTATGATGAACAGCATCATCCATCAACGGGTTACTGTTAGTCACCAAAATGCAATGTTTTTCTGGCTCTATCAACTCGGAATGTATTTGTTGCTTATGGGTATCGAACATTTCCACTGCGGCTATTAGGCCTTCTGCAATTGCATTTTCGAATCCGCCCTGACAAAAAACCAACGAGTCTAGTTGCATGTAGAAATCATTTAAGTCTGCGTTGAAGTGTCGTGATTCTACAATATTAATACTGTGGAAATCGCGGAAGATCACCAGGCCATAGCGTAATGCGGGAGTGACTCTGTCTTTATTCTGTTTATCTTCCAAGTCTATCACTTTAGGTGACTTGAGTTTCTGTATAATAGGGTGGAGTATTTTTTCACAGACGCTACGAAAATGTTTGTTCATCCGCCAGCTGCCATCTATAACAAACACCACCAGGACTTCTGGTAATACGTGAGAAGAGCTTCGCGATATCGGCATTTCGAGCTCAAGAGATACTAGTAAGTAGATTTTTCACTTATATCTGATAATAGTCTCCCTTAAGGTGAGGTTGTGTGAATGTTCAATGGTCGGGCTAGTGAAGTTTTGTGATACATTGTTTTAGTGTAACAATAGAATCAATTGAAACATTATTATTATTATCATTATTATTATGATTGGCTCGCCGGGACGTACTATTACTTATCGTAGCTGCTCACTTAAGTTTTGCGCGCTTTACTTAATTCTACTGCCGTACAAATTAGCGCTTCGCAATTCAACGAGGTTACTTAATCGATTCTGCCAGAGGCAAAAAGAAAGACGACTATTGGTTTTGGTTTAATTATTGCTAGTTTATTATTATCATCATCATCATCATCATCTTTACTACTGTTATTAGCATATTCTCGTATGACATATGATTAAAGTTATTCATTCTCATTGGTATATCGATATGTTTAATGACGATTGGTTGATTAACTTAACTTTTAACGTTTCTCACCTAAATTTATTCTTAGCGTTAGTCTGGTGCCTTGTACTACTATGCTCGGATAGCGCCTCCGAATTACTGAAGAAGTGATGAATTACCTGGATCTCATACTTACAATCCTCTCTCATTTATGCTTAATATGTAAACGGGTTCTAGAATATACATTGTTCAAAATGCAGTTGTAAGTATCGAAACTTAAACAGGCAGCAGTACAATTTATTTCAAGGAAATTATTTTTAAAATTATTAGGGTTAACCCGTCAAAAGTTTTAAGAAAAAGGATCTGACTTTGGATTAATGCATCTTGATAACTAATACATAATTTGTCAAATAATAAATAACCGATTCTGAATTCTGAAGCTTGCACGTTTTGGCGTGATACATTCAACGAAGAACGACCATTACTATTTCATTTAATGTTTAATAAACATGTTTGCAGATAATATCACTTTGTAGTAGGCCAGAAGTTGGTTCAAGCTTGTGTGTATATATAATGAACTCGAATTACGTGCACTTTATACAATGAAATTCGGTTTAACAAAGTGTTGGCATGCGACTGAGAGGCTTTGCGACTCACAAATTGCTGCGTTAAATGTTATTAGAACACCATAGTTCAAATAGCCCAAAAATCACAATAATTACACTTAAGACTGTCCGTGGATTCGTGTATTATTGAGATTTTATTTCGTATGTTAGGAGAACATCAGGAACATGGGAACATATTGGAATGAAAATAGTGGCGGCTGGAAGTACAGTATAAAGTGATGATGTTTTCGCTTTTATAATTTGCAAAACACAATGCTCGAAGCTCAGCGTCAAATTATTTCACATTTTCGACCTAATATAGCATTTCCCTTCCGTACTGTTGAGCGCAAGCATTCTAATGTTATAAAAGATTACACAAACTCTTCGTTCCTTGGGCCATCATAATTCGGCTCTTACGACATCTGGCTATTTGGTAACATACAAAAGGAATGCTATAGTTTTGTGCCTCTTGCATATACCCCAAAAACCGCATTTACATACAACAGAAATATCAGCCAAGATATGATTTGTATTTGTCCGTAATAATTTGGATTATTAACAGGTTATTTCGGTACGAATTTAGTTTATGACCAATACAAGTGGCTCTCGATATAAGAAAGTAGTATGGGCCAACGAATTCCTAAACCTTTCTTATAGCAAAACTTTATTTACACTATTCTTAATACTGCCATTTACCACGTCTTTCTTAAGACGACATAGACTTTGAACAAAAAAGACTCATCTACCTTAATGTCGTTATTTGACTGATCGGTAAAACAGAATAATATTGGTGTAAAACAGTCTTAGTTAATAGATTATAATCCACCACAGAAAGCGGTTTACAAAATGCATTGAGACAACGTTATTATTATGCAGAGAGGGTCTTACATTGAGAAATTTTTGGCACAAACTTTCTTATATCGAGAGATTTATAATAAATCTTCTTATATAAAAATAAAATTTCATAGTGAAAAATTGGGACCAGCCAAAAACCTTTCTTATGGGCCATTTTTCTATATCGGAATGTTCTTATATCGAGAATCACTTGTAATAAACAAGTATTTCTTGACAAATCTCCGGTATTTACAGGCGGATTTTTCTAAAGGATTAAATTTTAACACGCGTTTTGTACTACCGTGGCGTTTTGAAAAACTCTGTAATCAGATGTTGATAGATGAGGTCATGTGGAAGTTACTGGTTTCTCGACTTCGTTCTATAATAACAGCTCCCAAGGCTTCTTCGTTGAGTAAACTAGATCCTTCTCGACCTGTACGCGGAACCCACGATCGTTTTGGTGAAAAGGATGTTCGGTATAATTTTATTCAACAAACTGCTGCGTCCGTAGCAGAATCGTATTGCTTTGAACATGTCAGTATATAATACGATCTATCGTGACATTGTCTGCTGACTCGTGTTGACAAATTTGATTAATCTTATGTTTGTAGTTTACAACGCCGATATTGGAATTTTCACATGTATTTGAGAGAACGCTAGGAAATGATTCGGATATTGTTGGTAAAGAACTGTATAGCTTTACTGATAAAGGAGGAGATCATTTGACTCTAAGGCCCGAAGGGACGGCTGGTAATTATACGGCATATCTTGAATGTGATGATTTGTTATCCATTTATTGTAAACGCGTGTCGATTAATATCGATTTACAGGAATAGTTCGTGCTTTAATAAGTAATAAATTGCAACAATTCTTACCACAAAGGTTATATTATTATGGACCAATGTTTCGTCACGAGAGACCTCAGAAAGGAAGATTGAGACAGGTAAACCCTCTAGATTATTAATTGATAACTTAAAAAATTTAATTGTTAATGTCTATCGTTTCACTCAGTTTGAACAATTTGGAATCGAAATGTTTGGTCATAATAATCCCGCATCAGATGCCGAGATCATTGATATGGCATGGACATTCTTGAACAAGATAGGGATGGGAAACCGAGTAGAGGTGCATGTTTCTATATTGTTTTAATATTTGAGAGCTTGGTAGGCTAACTATAACTCTCAGCTAGAAATAAATTCGCTTGGCGATCATGTCTCAAGGAATCAATATCGAGACGTCATTCGCAGTTATTTCCAGAAACATATTGAGCGTTTATCTGATGATAGCCAACGACGGTAAATGGTGTATTGTATTCTACTTCATCTCACTTACCAGTAATAACGCTCTTTAATCAACCGATGAATTCCAATTTTCGGTTACTAGTTATCTCATCTAGTATATCTTACCTTTATTTAACAGAGTCAAAACAAACCCATTGCGTGTCCTTGATTCTAAAAAACCACAAGATGCCTCGACAATTGCTTCATGCCCAGTAATCTCTGACTATTATACTTCAGAATCATTTTTGCGATTTCAGAATGTCTGTAAAATGCTAGATCAATTAGGCATTCCTTACAAAGTCAATCCTCGATTAGTTAGAGGACTTGACTATTACGAGGAAACTATTTTTGAATTCAAGTGTACAGATAAGAGTCTAGGGCCCACGCAGGACACCATACTTGCTGGCGGACGTTACGATTGTTTGGTTAAACGTATGGGTGGGAAGGAGGAAATTCCGGCTGTTGGGTGGGTTGATAATTATTATATTGGACTTCAATATGCCTTACATTTGTGTATAATTCGATTGAACATGACTAATTGTATATCTTTAGATGGGCCGCAGGCATAGACAGGCTAGCGCTGTTAATCACTCCTTCTCTGCTCCCGTTACCTAATCGTCATGTTGCAGTAATAACAGTGCCCGACAAATCCGACTCTCCTTCCGTATCTTCTGAGCTCATGATTGCTTCTGTGCAAATCTCAAAGTCTCTACGCACAAAAGGCATCAAGACTCTGTTAAATCATCCGCGAAAGTCTCAGTTTCTGGCACTGAAAACTGCCATTGCGCAGGCAGTGAAATCTAATGCTTCCCACGTGGTTATTATCGGAAAGAATGAAGTTGAAACGGGATTTGTATCCGTAAAAGACCTGGATCTCAATACGCAGGTTGAATGTAAGGCTGAGGATGTTTGGAGAATAATAGAGAGTAGGTCGGATTGATGGGGCAGAATAGCTTTATTCATTATTTATGTTTGCGGACTGTTTGTCGTTCCTTGCAGTGCCAGATCTAAATGTGTCTAATTGTCGGTTTCATACTATAATGCGATTCTCTAATTTGTGAATCATACACGAAATTTTCGGATGTAAGTTAGATTTTCGCGATCTAATCGGTCGATAAAGAGATAAATCTAGATCAAAATTGTTGGACATATCAAATTGCTTCTTTTACACTCTAAGACATAATACATAAGTACGTTTGTTCTGCACCGGCCAATGCCAGTCGCTTCATCATCCATTCTTGACGCATGTTATTACTATGTTGCCGGCGCGGTCACATCTGGTGCAACATTTGTGGTGTTGGCAACGCTTCCTTGTTGTTCATTATCAGCACCAGTATCAATATCATCAGCAGGAAAACCTATATTTTCGGGCTGTCTTATGTTAACGTCGTTTGATGTTCTCTCAAACAATCGAGTTCTTCGGGGGGAGGTGTGAGGAATTGAAGATATACACACTTTAGCGAAAATGATCTTAACAGGCATCATATTGCATTTTCTGAGATATTCGAACATGTAATCATGAATGGCTGATTACGGGTAAATATCCCTATCCACATTATTACTCACATGAAAGCAGGTGTCTTCAGAATTCGCACCCCTCCACTCTGTCTCTCATTCGGCCATACGTCTTCGAAGAAATAGTAAATATGGCCTACCGCGATTCCCATGAGATCTCCTGTGGGAAAGCCGCTATTGAGTAGTAATGAGAACCCCAATAGTACCCATGGCAGGAATGGGGCACTGAATACAAATAGACCTAGGAAATTAAGACGTATCCAGGGATTACGACGTGACCATATATAGACCAGTGTAAAGGCCAGTGGTGAACCGAGGAATGTCATTGGCGGGCCAGGTAACAAACTCGCGATGGGAGAGAGTAGCTGTAAATTATCGGCAAACTTATTACATTGATGAAATAAACATAATAGCAGATTGAGATATGATATGGCCGATAAACTTACAAGTGTGGCAGTTGCAGCAAAAATCAGCAGCCAGAAGAAATCGGCAGTCTTTCCTCGAAATGAACCTTCTTCCAGCATTCGACTGTGACGAACTCTGGTTAAGGAAATTGTATTTCAATGGATCAAATATCTCGGATAATTAAACATAATATAATAAATTTAACTTTACATACAGGAAGAACATATGAAATAGAAATTCAAGTGAGAATGTTCCAAAGTACAAAAAGTTGGTAACTAGACGCCAATACTATCAAAGAAACCAATGTAGTCACAAATCGATTAAATAGTGCGAGACAGGCAACAAATCTTGAAATTTACAATAACTTGCTATGCTCGTCAAAACGCAGAGTTCAACGTCAAGCATACCTGATGTCTGTGAACTATCAAATCATAGTTGAAATACAGCTGATAAGGACTTATTATACCGAGATACTGGAATAACAACGAAACCTGTTAGTAATTCCGTTTCCATATTACTTCTCTATGATAGTGTTTTGATGCTAACCACTAGCAAACTAGTCGCCACAGCTGCTGTCATGTAAGTTCTGGTGATTAGAGGGACTTCATAATACCACTCTTCTATTGGCATTGCCATCATAAACCATTCGAGTATTAAAACAATATTTGATAGTAATAGGAATTCTTAAACTGAACTGAATTTTTGTGACCGTGTGAAAATATAATTGGGACAGGTAAGATCACAACTCGCTCATCCACCATTACCATGTCAAAACCCGTAAAGATTATATCCAGTTTACTCTTTGATACCAAATACTACTGGCATACTGCTACATTGTTATTGCTACTTGAGACTCTACTCAATTTGGTCATTGTCAAGAAAGTGAAATGTATGTTTGCAAACATTGATTATACTGATATCATGATCTTCTAGTGACCCTGCTGTTTATTGCATACTTGTGGTAGATACTGAAATTGACTGGATATCATATATGCAAGAAGTGGCTGGTTTTCTAAATGGGGAGCATAATTATTCCAACTTACGTGGAGATACCGGTCCTTTAGTGTATGTACATAGTATTGATTATTTTCAAATCGACTCGAGTATATAACTGATAAACTTATTAGTGGAAATTTATATTCAATATAATTAGATACCCTGCAGGATTTGTCTATATCTTTTCTCTGTTTCATTATGCCACGGATTCAGGAAGAAACATCCAATTGGCTCAATATCTGTATATTCTGTTATATCTTTTAACATTATTAATTGTTTTCTATATATATAGATGCTCCCTCAAGGTGACATATTTAGATGAATGTCTTCATCACAATACTTTGTTCGTGAAGCTTCTAATCAAAATAAATGTTATGTCATAGATACCGCCATATATCCTAGTCCCATTATGTTTGTCCAAGCGCATTCATTCGATATACGTTTTGAGATTATTTAACGACCCCCTGGCTATGATTTTTATTTACCTTGGTATTCTTTCAATGATCAAGATGAATATTCTACTATTTTTCCCTGCTTTTGGTTTACTCTTGTTCAAAGCACTAGGTTTGTATAAAAGTATCCTAAACGTTGGCTATATAATCTTGGTCCAGGTAATTGTTTGACAGAAATTCTTCTTATTCCATTATATTTTACATAACGTATATTTTACTGTTTTATTAGATCGCCCTAGCTTATCCATTTATCACTGTTCATCCGTACGAGTATTTCAGTCGAGCATTTGAGTTATCACGTGTATTTACTTACAAGTGGACTGTCAATTGGAAATTACTTGATGAGAAAGTATTCTTGAGCGCATGGTTTGCAAAGCTACTGCTTGTTTGTCATTTTTGGGTATTAATGGCTTTTCTTTTCAAAAAGTGGTGCCGGTATGTAAGTATGTATAGCATTATGAACGAGTGCGTTGATAACGTGATAACGTTCCAAAATTTCCCTTAGATCAGAAAACGGTGTGTTTGCTATGCTGTACAGTGGAATAATGGCAACATCATATGGAAGTGAAGAGAGTCGTTGGCTAACAGCAAATCGTATCTTTTTACATACATACTCTGTTGGTTGCCTTTAGATATTGATTTTTATCCCTAACTGTAAATAATATTAAGATATAACAACAGTCATGTTTACCAGCAATTTCATAGGGATTATGTTTTCAAGGACACTCCATTATCAATTCTATAGTTGGTATTTCCATAGCATACCACTTCTCCTTTGGCATTGTACTATGATCCCCATTCCTCTGAGGTATGCGTGTGTTCATTAACCAAATCGATGGGTTGACGGATTTTGTTAATATATGTTCTCCTTTAGATTTGTGATCATGATGGCAGTCGAGTATTGTTGGAATGTGTATCCTGCCACAGCTGAAAGCTCCCAACTTTTACTACTATGCCATGTGACAATATTAATGGGATTATGGAGCGGGGACGCTGAGGGGAGACAGGCAAAGATTGGTGATGACACTCATGGCAAGAAGGATTAGCAAACTGTCATTTACTGACACCTCTGATAAATTATACTATTTACATAATTCATCAACATTTCTGAGAGTATTGATTACAAAGTTACCACTATTGGTGACACGTAATGCAATGTACTTTTGGCATGGACTGTTGCACCTTTAGTGCTCAGACTAATAAAGAATGCACAACTCCATTATTCCATCAATATTGCTGAAACCATATTTTATTAATACTCATCACATATCTTCGACAGTTGTGCAATCAATAATAAGATTGGCGAGGACATTATCCGCCTGCTCTTTTAATGCTCATGCATTCTTGTCTGCTTTTACCAATTGTAAAACTTGGAAGGGTTATAAATAGGTTTGTCTTCCAATAACGGCATCCAAACTTTTTTCTTCTTTTCCCAATTCATTCCTTTTATTTTCTTCTTCTCCGGTCGACCCTCCCCTTCCTGTTTCGCTTCTTTAACGACAAACTTCATGTGAGCCTTTTTCAATTTAAGTGTAAACAACCGTCCACGCGCACCATACGCCCTCTTCCGACGATATAGGCCTTTGCCAACCCACGCTCTATCTATGAAAAATGAGAAAGTTCAAAATTAGCAAAGTTCACGCAAGTGACTTAATAAAGTACATAATGCTTCCGTTATCAAATTAATAAGAGAAGATCTGATTAAAGTTGGAATTCACAAATATGGATTACGGCAAGATTGAATCTTCCCATAGCGCTACTATCAGTTCTACTTACCAATATAAAGTTTCTTTGGATCCATCATTTTGTACCTCCATGCATGATCTCTTGCAGTACACAAGGAATTCATAATCTTCTTTGATGCTTTCTTGGGAGAGAACTGCATCTGGCTTATTGCATAATTAACATTCTTTCCATTTATTTGACGAGCAAGCATGTTCAACTTTCTTGGAGCTATTCGGAAGTCCATCGTAGAATAATTATGCTGTAACAACAGTTCACAGTAAGTTCGAAATTACTGAAAATTTAATAACCATTACCCGGTATCGAACTAACCTCGGTGTGCCTCTTTGAAGCTTCAGTAACAACAGGCTTTCTGAAAGGATTACACAGTTTTGCCCGCTGTCTGCCTTTCTTTTTAGCAGCTTCAATATCATCTTTCTCCTCCACCATATCAAAAATTGAAGAAGCGCCTACTGCCGGCAATTGTCTAGTTGGTACTGTTTGTTTATCAGCACGCAGACATGGTGTTGTATGAACGAATCTGAAATGTTCTATGGGTATTAGCGTAATGATCGAGCGGAAAATTAATACAGAAAAAATCACGGCTTTAGGCACGGAATTATAGCTTTATGTGCCTTATTATTTTTGGGAGTCTACATTGGAACGGATAGATGCGTATTTTCGTGAAGAAAGATACTATTTAAACAAAATTATCCTATTAGTAGCTATAGCCTTCATGCAAACGTCGAGAAGATCCTCTTTCTTACCCGGAAGTAACACATTTCGATGGCTCATTATATACTCTTTGTTTTCACCACCCAAGATATATTATCCGAGAAAAAGTAACTATTTCGTCGTGTGACATGGATAAAAATGCAACGATATATAGTTGACACGTGACATTTGAGTAAAATTTTCAAATTCTTGCCTATACTTCTCCTTGTGTAGTTGCGATAAGGAACAGAAAGCGAGACGAGATCGTATCAAACCACCGGAGTGTAGCGAAGGACTTTCTGTATGAGATAGAAAAATCATCCAACCTATTAACATTTTTTTTGTAAAATACCTTTTAATCTAAAAACTTCGAGAATTTTCTCTTTTTTTTCTTCTTTTTTTTTTGCAGATTTGATGCATCGGAGAAAAGAATTGTCATGCCGTCCATTCATACATTATTTTTCGCAAACAATAAAAAGCGTGAACCAGAAAGCATCATATGAGTTACGTATAATACGTCGTGGCTTACTTTATGAGGCTGCAACAAAACCAGTCAAAGCTGCCACAGCCTTCTGCTCTTGATACGTACAGTATATGTTCAGGACACTTGGTGATTTATATGGGTGTTATCTGGTTTATATTCTGTGCCGCTTACGCTCGTACTCAAACTTGAATTTTTGAGGTCTTTTTAGTAATTTCAACTTGATCAAAAAAGTACCAGAACGCGTAAATTGTTATAACATTAGAATCAAAATGGCGTGCAGACATGTCTTTCACATTTAAGATGAAATGGAACATCTCGCATACATTATAACAGTCCAATCATGAATACTTTCGTCTCTACCATATTTATTCGATCATCTATCTAGCCAGTCAGATATTATAAAGAACCAGCTATGTGAATCTTTAAAATGTCTATTATTGGAAATATTTTCACAAGTCATTACATCGTAAGTGCCATTCAAATAAGAATATTATAGCTGAAGCGCTAGTAGCACACAGGATTTCAATAGACGTTGCGGAGACCATTATCCAAGTAATATCTCATACATAATGACAAGAATATTCACAGCAATTAACGGAACTAGAAATTGAACAAATGCAAAGTCAATAAATTAATGGTTATGCTTACAACCATACGTTTATTCAAAAATGATTCTTACTTCGCATCAGCGTTCTTACGGCTGATATGAGATTTATAATGTTGGTTTTAAGTGATGGACCATCGCCGCCAAAGCCTTGATCCGACTGTGGACTCATTCCAACTACAAAGAGAAGAGGAGTATACAGTGAGACGAGCATATTGACTAAGGAAGTGAACATGTTGACAAATACGCTGATTAACAGTTCCCCCGAAATAGAAAGTCTTCTAGAGCAATTGCATCGGTTTCTATCGGTATACTTGCTCTATTAGTAACAGATGATCTCTCAAACTGTCTTGTTTTGATCACCTAAGCGTCTAAAATTGCCTCTATCCACCTTGTAACTCCAATTCTACCGCTCTTGACTTTTATCGACTTTCACTTACTTCTCGCAAGAAATCTCTGTTCGTTCAACACTGCTATAGCATTAATAACCAGCAAAACACAGTAGAATATCTGGCCAATTGATAAAACCATCTTGTCGTATATGTATAACCTATATCCACGATTGCTTCAGGCGAAGAAATGTATGATGTGTGGACACGTGAATGGTAATAGTATATATAATTCCATAATGGCCTCCCATTTTGTCCCATAGATCGAAATGTGATTGGTTGGTCTTTGATTTGATAATTTTTCCATAAAAAGTAATAATCCGTGTTTATCATCCAAACGGCGCAGTTGTAGACGATCGCTGGAAATTTAAATTGACTTTCGGCGAATAGTAATAGGTCACACATTTACTTGTAGGTACATTAATATTCAGTGCTAATCTTCCTTCTCTTCTTTACCTTTTTGGTAAAACTGTATACTAAAGTAATAATAGTTGACAAGAATAAGAACTGTTGAGAGTGATTTAAATGAAACTATGTAAATAATAATAGAAACAACCTTATTTTCCTCGTATTCCTTTTGTAAACTTTCTCTATTTTATTACAAATAAATTTTACATATATCTAATATACGCTCCCCGAAAGAAAGTATCCGTCGTCCGGAGTTTTTTTTTTTTTTTACTTTACGCAAAACTTGATGTAACGATTATAGAAGAAATCGGTTTGTAGCTTATAATTTTGAAGCATTCAGCTTTTTCGGGGGCAATTAGCATTTAATTTTTAAGTTTTAATTTTAAAGAGAGAATTGTTTGTAAAATTATTACTTATTTTTGTTATAGGAATCATGGTATGGGGATGCTTTTCGGGAAGAGGTATGGGTCCATTATGAAGGATGAATCAAGATTATATCAGAAGTGACTTTAATGGTAAAGGTGCATTCAAGATGACAATGCCCTTGTGCATACAGCAGAAAATGTTGCCAATTGGATTAGGAAGAAAAGAAGTAAAAATTCTACCTGATTGGCCGTCTCAATCTCCTGACCTATAATTGAACACAACTTGAAAGGCGTCGTGAGAAACCGGAAAACAACATCCCAAAAATGCCAAAGATTTGGAGATTGCTGAAATAGGAATGGTCAATAATTTCTTATAGACGTATTCCAATTTAATTGCGAGCATGCCAAGAAGGCTCGAGGCATATATTTCTAATAATGGATGGCCAGCCGATACTACAATGAAAATTAAAACAAAGACCGGCGAAATTGATTTTACTTGCTTTTTAATTATTATAAGCTACAAACTAATTTCTTCTATAATCGTTACATCAAGTTTTCGTAAAGTAAAAAAACTTCGTCTGGATACTTCTTCCGGGGAGCGTATACAGTATATTAATAATTTTTTTTAGTACCACAATAATATCTCCAATTCAGTAACGCGGAATCAAGATTCCATTCTCGTGCTCGCAATCGTCTTTTTTACTAAAAAAATATATAATACCGAAATGAAAATAAGTATCTTAATATGGAGAAATTGCCCAACATTATCTCGTTCGCCCAGCATATGATTTGGACAGAAACAGATTGAGAACCTACCTCAATTATTCGCATTATTCAAACATGCCGTGCTGTACTAATTACAAAAAAATCAATTAGAAGATAAAGATGGTTTATCAGAATATCACAAGACATATGGGGATTTGGCTCATCCTACTATTACAGTGAACCCTCCATAAATGCACGCCCTTGGGAATGGAGGAAAGCGTGCATTTATGGAGGGTGTGCATTTATGGAGGGTAAGAATTTGATTGATTGCACGTGAAATTAGGAAATAAGTAAATATCATTGGTTATTTATTATTTAAAAAATTGATCCATCGTAGTCTGTTTCATTGCATTTCTAAGCTTTTTGAAGCCTCGT